GTCTCCAGAGCAGCTGGGACTACAGGCACATACCATCATGCCTAGCTAATTTTTAAATTTTTTGTAGAGATGCAGGCTTGCTCTATTGCTCTGACTGATCTCAAACTCCTAGTCTCAAGCCTCTGTCTCTTGAGTAGCTGAAGTTATAGGTGCAAACTCCCACACCTGACAAATTTTGACAGGCATTATTTGTTAACACGCAGCAAGTTTTATAATTCTTATAACTAGCCGGGCTCAGTGGCTAGTAATCCCGCACCTTTGGGAGGATGAGGTGAGTGGATTGCCTGAGCCCGCGGGTTCGAGACCCGCCTGGGCAGCAAGATCTCATTGCTACAATAAATCAAAAAATCAGCCAGGCGTGGTAGTGCACGCCTGTAATTCCGGCTACTTGGAAGGCTGAGGCGGAAGGATCGCCGGAGCCCAGCAGGTCGAGGCTGCGGTGGCCAGGAGCGGCCACTGCACTCCAGTCTGGGCAACAGAGTGAGACTCCAACTCAAAAAAAAAAAAATTCTTATAACTGACAACATAATTCCATTTTGGAGAACACATCTTGAGAAGTTAGTGCCCTTTCCCTACCAAAGTAACTTGTACAAAGTGATTCACAGCAGTGTTGTTAATAACAGTGATAAATAGAGCTAGCTTAGTATACATCAATCATTGAATGAGCAAATAACAGTGTCTTCAGTTATTTAGGGCATGGGATGCTGATTCTCCTGAAAAATGTTAAACTAGAATCACTGCTTAAAATTAGTTATTTTAGTGGCTGGGCATGGTGGTTCATATCTGTAATCCCAGTACTCTGAGAGGCGGAGGCGAGAGAATTGCCTAAGCCCAGGGGATTGAGACCAGCCTGGGTATCTCAGCAAGATCTCATTTCTAACAATAAATCAAAAAATTGCCTGGGTGTATTTCCAGTTACTTAGAAGGCTGAGGCAGAAGGATCACCTGAGCCCAGGAGGTTGAGACTACAGTGGCCGTGAGCATGCCACTGCACTCCAGCCTGGGCGACAGTGAGATTCCAACTCAAAAAAATATATATATGTATAGTCATTTTAACAATTTGTATTTACATAAGAAAGTTCAAAATGACCCTTCAAAATTAATTTGCTACTTCTTTTCCGTTCACTTCAATGCTGATTTCTAAGAATAACTAAAGGATTAGAGAGCTTTCTTCTTCCCAGTTTTGTGGGCTCTCATCCTCCACCTACTCCTTTCTCACCCATGATTTATAATAATGTTGCTATAAATACTGACCCCAGGGCAGTCAAAGTGATCCTTAAATACCATATAAAACATAAGGGGTCATTATGACTACCAGTAATACTGATAGATCTTGCCTCTGCCTAAGTAGTTACTGGTAGGAACTTGTCCAATAATGTAGAGAGACACTGTTTTTTCTTGTCCCCTTCCCCACCTCCCTCTGCTGGGAGAAATGTTAAACTTCACAGGTTAGGGACCACATATACCATCTCAATTGAAAAAAAAAGAAAAGCTGGGCTCAGTGGCACGCCTTGGGAGGCTGAGGTAAGTAGATTGCCTGAGTCCGTGGGTTCAAGACCTGCCTGAGCAACTTGGCGAGACCTCATCTCTACAATAAATCAAAAATTAGCCGGGCGTGGTAGTACGCACCTGTAGTTCCAGCTACTTGGAAGGCTGCGGTGGAAGGATCGCCAGAGCCCAGCAGGACGAGGCTGCGGTGGCCAGGAGCGGCCACTGCATTCCAGTCTGGGCGACACAGTGAAACTTCAACTCAAGGAAAAAAAAAAAAAAAAAGAGAAAAAAGAAGAAAAATGTCACAGTTGTAAATAAAAATGAGATTAGTGGACAATCCGAATTTTGGAATACTTGGAGGGTTTGGGAGACTTAGGTGGTTCGCCAAAAGGATAGAATTTGATCAATTCTAGGATACTGGGTTCTCAAAAGCCTAGGAAAGTCAGAAGGAAGACTTGCCTGGGGCAAGTCTCATACCTATGAAAGAGATCTATCTGCAGGGTCAAGGTCCTTTTTTCCTCTCACTACTCTAGCCTAGTTCCAGCCAAAAACAGCTAAAGATTGGCAGCAGTTTGAAGGTTAATGTAAGAAAGTCTGCAAAGAGGTGAAAGGAGTCATATTAGCCAGTAGTCAGAATTTATAAAGAACCCCCAGAATCCACCCAACACTGTGCTGGTGTTGATTACAAGGAGAAAAACAGAGAGGAGGTAGTGGCATGGGCAAAGTAGAGAACAGTCCTGCATCTTCTCCCACAAAAATCGACCTTTCATCAAAGGGTTCATCCATGTTTTTTCAGAGGGGAAAGGGGGAGGGAATCACCTCGTAAAGTGACCTCCTTCTCACATGTGGTACTCAGAAGCCCACTCATTCTGGTACACAGCCATGCCATTCTGCCCCTGTGCCTTTTGTTGGATAACAGGGATGCTGCCAGGTGAAGCTGGAAGTAACCAAAGACCAAGGTTATTTCACTGTCTTTCTCTCCAGTGTTGCAATTACAGCTATAGCTGTGCTAGATGAATTTCGGGAAGACCGAAGAACAAAACCTCTAAGGTCTCTTACAGCATTAAATTTCCATGAAACTTTATCTGCAGTGGGATTCAGAGAATAAGTAAGCTGCTTTTGCAACGTTTTGAGCATAAGATTCTTTGACTCATACTTAAACATCGGGAAATAAGACAGAGGTTTTTAAACTTTTCTTAAAGTAGCAGACCACTTTTTTTTATAAATAAAATCTTGGCCGGGCTCTAATCCCAGCACTTTGGGAGGCTGAGGTGAGTGGATTGCCTGAGCCCGTGGGTTTGAGACCCGCCTGGGCAACTTGGCGAGACCTCATCTCTACAATAAATCAAAAAATCAAGCTGGGCTCGGTGGCTCAGCCTATAATCCCGCGCCTTTGGGAGGCTGAGGTGAGTGGATTGCCTGAGCCTGTGGGTTTGAGACCCGCCTGGGCAGTGAGACCTCATCTCTACAATAAATCAAAAAATCAGCCGGGCGTGGTAGCGCGCGCCTGTAATTCCGGCTACTCGGAAGGCTGAGGTGGAAGGATCGCCGGAGCCCAGCAGGTCGAGGCTGCGGTGGCCGGGAGCGGCCACTGCACTCCAGTCTGGGCGACAGAGTGAGACTCCAACTCAAAAAAAAAAAATCAGCCAGGCGTGGTAGCGCGCGCCTGTAGTTCCAGCTACTCGGAAGACTGAGGTGGAAGGATCGCTGGAGCCCAGCAGGTCGAGGCTGTGGTGGCCAGGAGCGGCTACCGCACTCCAGTCTGGGCGACAGAGTGCGACTCCAACTCAAAAAAAAAAAAAAATCTTACCTGAAACCTTCCTATATAAAACAGATAAATTTGGTGCTCCTCTGGTTGCAGCTAGGGTGAGGAGCTGGACTGTATCCTCCCACAGCTTCCCCCTTGTCCTTTAAAGGAGCTTCTCACATCCGTGAGGAACATAGCTGATTTAAAGGAAAAGGGAAAGGAAGTCAACATTTAGATAAAGAAGTGAAAAAATACATAAACGAAGGGGAAGAAGGGAAAGCTCCCCCTTGATATGAAAGAAGTAGAGTTGCTTTGTAACCATCACAGTAAAAACAAGTTTGAGCAAGAATCATCAAGGGATGCTTAATCCAGAGGGAAAGTTTGATTAGAGGCAGGCTATGTGCATGATCTTCATGCAAACCGATTGCATATAAAGGAGAAAACACTGCTTATATGGGAGCAAACATTACTGACCTGTGGACTTAAAAAATGTGAATGTCATGTAAAACAAGGCAAGGCTGAGGAGGTGCTCCAGATTAAAAGTTAAAAGAGACACAAGAACTAAATACAGTATGTAATTCCTTAGTGAATTATGTACACGGGGTGGGGGGGATGTCATAAATGATGTTACCAAGATAACTGACACTGGAAATATGGGTTACAAATTTGATACAAGTATGGTATCAGTATTTAATTTCCCGAATCTGGTAACTGTACTGTGGTTAAGTAAGAGAATGTCCTTATTTTTAGGAAACAAAAACTGAAGGATAGTACCTAGTCTATAGGGGATATGACATGTGCAACCTACTCTCAAACAGTTCAGGAAAAAATAAATGACACAGAGTATTTACAGATACAGAGAAAGCAGCGGTTCTCAAAGTGGGATACTTGGTGGAGCATCATCATCACTTGGGAACTTGTAATGAGTACAGATTCTTGTGTTCCATCTCAAACCTACTAAATGAGTTGTTTGGGGTGAGACCTAGGAGTCTGTTTTAACTTGAGCCTTCTAGTTCATTCAGACACATGCTAAAGCTTGAAATACACTGATATAGAGAAAATAAGAAAACAAATATGGTGAAATGTAAAATGGATGAATCTGGGGAAAGGGTATATGGGAGGTTTTTGTATTTTTTTTTTCCTTTTTAATGCAGGATTTGAGAGGACAGAAAAGTTCCCACAGTGGGAGGAGATCTAAAGGGGTTACTCTTTCCCTTTTTTTAAGAAACAGGATTTTACTATGTCACCCAGGCGGGAGTACAGTGGCTCACAGCAGCCCCAACCTCCTAGACTCAAGGGATCCTTCCACCTTAGCCACCTGAATAGCTGGGATTACAGGCACACACTACTGTGCCAGACTAACATAAAAAAATTTATCTCTTTTTAAAGCAGCACACCTTGGTCCACTGCCCAAGGTGATCTGGAACTCCTGGCCTCAAGCAATCCTCCCTCCTCAGTCTCCTAAAGTGCTGGTATTACAGGTGTCAGCCACTGCATCTAGCCCTGTATTATTCCTGAAACTCTGCTGAAATTGCTTCAAAATAAAACTTAACAGTAACAACGACAAAACTGCCCTGGAACAATAAGTGTCTAGTTGTGGAGAGGAGTCCCTGTGGATAGAGACAAGTCAAAGGTAAATGTATGAACCTACACATGAAGTGATGCAATTTACAACTAAGACTGTCGCAACTCCAATGCAGAGTGAAGGCAGGAGACTGAAATAACAAATCTTGCAGAAAATTTGGGCATCAACTATACTAACCTGAATAGGAGAGTCCGGCAATCTCTATAAAGAGGTCTTCTTCAGAAAAGCTCTCGGGGAGCATGAGGAAAGCAGCGGTCACAGCACTCTTCAAATTTTTGTCGAGGGCTGATCTAAGAGTGGGACTCTCATTCATTGCTACAATTTTCACCTGAAAGAAGCAGAACATTCAGGAGAAAAATTCCAGAAGTGAAGTCTTCCTCAAGCCATGGGTTACACATGCAATGGAACTATTCCAAACTCTTTCCACTGAAGATCTTGGAATATTAGTTCAGTTGACACTAAATAATCATCATTCTAATAAGCAACCCCAGAATCTCCTGTTTTATGCTAAAGTCAATGAAATCGTGACACAGGAAAGGATCAAAATGCCAAAGAAAACAAAAAAAAAATATTCCTCTTAAATGAGGAAATGAATCATGAGTTTTGAAAAAGAGTAAGTATCATTTGAGAACTTTAATATTTTTAAATTGTGCAATCTTATTGTTTTTTAACATAATTTTCTAGTGGATGAAGGCATTTGACTTTATTTAGAGCTCACCTGGAGGCCAGGCACAGTGGCTCAAGCCTATAAGTTTGGGCAAATTACCTAGCTTCTCAGAACTTAAGTTTTTATCTATAAAATAGGATAATTGACGTGCATCAAAGAATTGTCACAAAGATTGAATATGATAGTAAACATAAAGTGCCTAGTATACGCACAACTGCTTTGCTCAATAAAAAGAATTTTTCTCCTAAACACACAGTTGAAGCTGCCTTTTGACTTTCTCCAAGTTCATTAAAATACAAGAGCTCCAGTATATTCTGGGATTCTCAGTTTTAAAGATCACACTGTAGCTAAGAGAATGTATTCAAGTGCCAGTTTTATCTCTTACTACCTCTGTGAATATGGGCATAATTCCTTATCAGTAAAACGGAGTTAATAACAGAATCAGGCTCATAAGATTGCTGGTAAGATACTGCACAAACCCTTAGCTGAATTGAGCTTCCTTGTGTGTGTTTCACAATAATAACATAAGAGTTTCTCTGGCCAAGGAGTCTCACCTTGGGCTACCATTAGCCCAGGCTTGTTAAAACACATATTATTGGGCCCAACCCCCCATAATATGCGTCAGTATCTGTTTCAGTAGGCCTAGATGTGGCTGGCTTTTCTTTCTTTTTCTTCCTACCTTCCTTTCTTTCTCACTCTCTTGTGCTCTCTCACTCTTTGAAACAGGGTCTCATTCTGTCACTCAGGTTGGAGTGCAATGCCACAAATACAGATCATAGCCTCGAACTCCTGGGCTCAAGCAATCCTCCCACTTCAGTCCACCAAGAAGCTGAGATTACAGGAATGCACCACCATGCCGGTCTAATTTTTTTTTAATTTTGTAGGTCTCACTATATTGTCTCCAAGTGATCCTAGGCTCCACTCTTGGGCTCCACTCCTGTGCTCAAGTGATCCTTCTGCCTTAGCCTCCCAAAGTGCTGGGATTACAGGTGTAAGCCGCTGCGCCCAGTATAAAAAAAAAATGCGTATTTCTTTTACTTTTCTGTTTTTCTAAGTTGGAGTGTCACTCTGTCGCCCAGGCTAAAGTACAGGGGTGTGCTCACGGCCACTGCAGCCTCAACCTGCTGGACCCAAGTGATCCTTCCACCTCAGCTTTCCAATTAGCTGTTACTATTGGCATGCACCACCACACCCAGCTAATTTTTTGATTTATTGTAGAGACAAGGTCTCACCAAGTTGCCCAGGTTGGTCTCGAACCCTTAGGCTCAGGCAATCATCTCACCTCTGCCTCTCAAAGTGCTAGGATTACAGGCGTGAGCCACCACTGCCAGCAAAAATGCATATTTCTAACATGTTCCCAGGTAATGTACAGGGGTCACATTTTGAGATTTATTGTTCTTAGAAGTAGAATTGTCCAATTGTTTTTTGGTGTGGCTATACCATTTACACTCCCACCATAATATTTTTACAGCATCATGCTGTTTCTGACTGACTTTCCATACAAAGGAAAGTCTCTAGAAGTCCCTAATAAGAACTCTCATATATCTGAAATGTATCTACCATCTCTAAACCATTTGGTATCAACAAATTTTCCTCCTAGTCTAGAAAACAGAGCATAAGTTGTCTTTTATTTGTCAATATAATTTCTGACAAAATTAAGATGGTATATAAAAGACACATGTGAGACACTCCAAAATAGAATTTTATCAGAAAGCAAAGAGAGAGGTGAATGACCTGTACCCTAAGGTATAGTTTCTTCTCTCATTTTCTTTCTTTCTTTTTTTTTTTTTGAGTTGGAGTCTCACTCTGTCGCCCAGACTGGAGTGCAGTGGCCGCTCCCTGTCACCACAGCCTCAACCTGCTGGGCTCCAGCGATCCTTCCACCTCAGCCTTCCGAGTAGCCAGAATTATAGGCATGCACTACCATGCCTGGCTGGTTTTTTTGATTTATTGTAGAGATGAGGTCTCGCTGCCCAGGCGGGTCTCAAACCCGTGGGCTCAGGCAATCCACTCACCTCAGCCTCCCAAAGGCGCGGGATTACAGGCTGAGCCACCAAGCTCGGCTTCTCTCATTTTCTTTTGTTGTTGTTATTTATTATAAAAAGCAGTATTATAAAACATAAAACTATTTTATAAATCAGACTGAAGAACCTAAATTCTTTTAGCTTTTTTCCCCTAAGAGAATACCTACAACATACAAACTTCGCATATGGCAGGTGGGCAGGTCACTTAATACAATATCACCTCCTCCTCCCTTACAATTATGATTTAATAGACCTTAATGAAGCCTTTCAGTACTGGGTGAGTTTAGTGTTATTGCAATCATCTGCAGCCAGTATAAAACCAAGGACCAGTCCAGGAACATGACTCGCCTAAGGTTACATAATGAGTGGATGGCAAAAATCAGGGTAACACCATATGGTCAGCCAATCCACCTCGAAACATTTTGAATTATTCTCAGGTATTCAGTTAGGGATCTATTCTAATTAACACCTTATCTTGAAAAAGGATTAACAGAAAATTATAAGGTCCTATAACTCCTGCATTTATCTCTTAAATAACCTTCCCAAACTTTATACAGTTGACCTTCCATATTCGTGAGCTCTGCACCCATGGATTCAACCAACTGAAGACGGAAAATATTCAGAAAAAAAAAATTCCACAAAATTTCAAAAAGCAAAAGTTGAATTTGCTATGTGCCAAGTACTATGTTGAATCCATGTGAATGAAGTGTTGTGTAGGTATTGTATTAGATATTACAAGTAACCTAGAGATCACTTAAAGAATATGGGAAGCTGTGCATAAGCTATATGTAAATACTAGATGTTTTATATGAGACTCCAATTTTGGTATGGGGGTGTCCCAAAACCAATCCTCCAAGGGTACCAAGGAACTGTATTCCACATGGACTCATGGATCTAGGAGGACAACCTCCTCATTTTAATGATGGGAAGACTGAGGCCCAGAGGGATTAAAGGACTCTTCCAAGAGAAGAAGGGGCAAGTGGATCCAGCCCGCCGATCCATCCAGTGCTCTTTCCACAACTCTGTGACGCGTCTCCAACTCCATATTCCTCTTCTTCATCCTCATTCACCACATCCTTCTCAATATATTCTTTGCCCCCTTTTTGATGGCTTTTCCAGAAAATCAATAAAAAGAAGCTATTTTGAGATGCTAACAATTCAAAGAAACAATGCAAAGAAAAAAAAAAAGGAGAAATTTTCCTAGTTAACAAACTACTACTTGCTTTCCAAAGAAATTGTTCTACTTAGGTTGTAAGAAAGCAGTCTGTTTGCTATTTAAGTTTAAGAGAGTAAAAATAAAAGCATCCTTACTCAAAGGAAAAATGTCAATTCGGAAGACTCTGCTACTGTGCCGATGTGGTTCTTCAAGGAAAGGTGAACTAGGAACTTGTCTCAGCAGCACTGTTATTTGTTTGTTGCTCAGAGTGAAAAGCCAGTGAACTCTTGGGACACTGCCAGAGAGGCCTGGGGAAAAAAGAAAGTCTTCGGATTTGTGAATAGCTGTTTGTTTCTTACTGGGAATGTCCCGAACTGAACTGCATAGATAACATTAGCACTACTGCCAGGGAGGAAAATCTTTACTGGAGAGAGAAAGGGGCAATGCTTGAAGGGGCTTTCAAAGGAGAGATTTGTGAGTACCTTTCAAGACAGAAAATAAGAGAAAGTCACATGTGGTTTCCTCTATATCACAATCAAAAGGAGAGACTACTTGAATTGCAAAGAGTGAAGTTTTAGTCACAAAGAACACAGACCTACCTAGTTTTCAAATACTCAACCACCCCAAAGAACTTTTCCATTCCTAATAACCAGGAGGTTTAACTCTTCTAAACAATCACTGCCTCAGGACGAAGAAGAAACAAGGACCATAAGAGCCTGGTGAAACCTTGTTTCTTATCTACCTGTTGGCCTGTGGGTTCTTCAAGGACAATGTGGTGGTGTTTTGTTTGTTTTTTTTAATTCCTTTGGCATACACAGAGAAGAGGTTGTTTTTTGAATAACTAAATGAATGGCTCAATCTTTGCTTTTCAAAGACTATAAGCCTAAACATTTGTTCATTGCAGGGCAGAGGCGAAACTAGTAAGTCAGGTTTTCCAATTCCTAGTTCAGGAATATTTTATACCACTGGGATTTTTTCTAATCATACACACACAAAAGAATTAATAATGCTAAAATATGGTAAAGGTTGCACTCCATAAATACACTAAAAAACACTGAATTGATTTTTTTTTTAAGAGTCAGAGTCTCACTCTGTTGCCCAGGCTGGAGTGCAGTGGCACGCTCATGACCACCGCAGCCTTGACCTGCTGGGCTCAGGTGATCCTTCTGCCTCAGCCTTTCAAGGAGTTAGAATCATAGGCATGCACCCAAACTGTATGGTTTAAATGGCTGAATCATATGGGATGTGAATTATATCTCAATAAAGCTGTTACTTTAAAAAAGCTACATTCTAGCAAATAAGAGAGAAAATATATTGCAATGAATACATTAAAATAAATTAAAATCCTTTTAACAAGGTAGCAAAAATACACTGCATGTCAATGTGAATGCTTTAAAAAACTCAAGCAAAAAACTCATCTATACACTAAAAACAATGTGAAATACAAAAATACAAAATTATGTTATATTAATTAGGAAAAT